TGACGCTGTTAAAGACATTTGTCAATCTTCTTTGAATATTGTTGATACCGCAGTATTAGTTGATCAGCTGGCAACGTCGTGGATTAAATGGAGCGGTTACTGCTATATCAATTGACACAGGTAAAACTCTTGATTGTGAACCAATGAGTCGATCATGTAAAACCTGTAGTTCAAAACTAAAACTTAAAAGAAAACTTAAAGAAAATAACCCAAATGCCTTTGAAGCTTGGAAATCATCACATCAATGTAAATTAAATTATCGTGGCTCTTCTCCTGGAATGGAAGTAACTGGCGCTCAAAGAATATTTAGCCGTTCTATTTCACAAAATAAATTGAGGTATGTAAAGTATTATGGCGATGGTGATTGTAAAAGTTATTCGTATGTTAAGGATAATTATTCTTTTTTAACTGTGTGTAAGTTGGAGTGTGTTGGACATGTACAGAAACGTGTTGGTAGCAGATAGCGAACTTTGAAAAAAAAGCGTAAAAGGACATGGAGGCAAAGGCAAATTAACAAATGCTATAATTGATTGCCTACAAAACTACTATGGAATTGCTTTAAGGCAAAATGCCAATGATTTTAAAGCTATGAAAAAGGCCATACTGCAACATTGTTTCATGTTGCATCATCAGCTTAAAATAATTAGCATGTTCATTGCCCAAATGGAATCAATAGTGGGTGTTGTTATAAACAGGAAAAAGCTATTTAACGTCTACCTTCAAGCCAGGTGTTGGTCTTCCACTCTCAGTTATCAGTCATCTAAAGCCTATGTATATAGATTTATCTCAAGAAGAACTCTTAAAAAAATGCCTTCATGGTAAAACCCAAAACCAGAATGAAAGTTTTAATGGGATGATATGGCAGCGCATACCTAAAACAAAGTATGTTTCATTAACGCAGTTGGATTTAGGGGTTTATGATGCTGTTTCAAATTTTAATATTGGAAAAAAAGCAAGCATACTTTTGTTTGAAAAGTTGAATATGATTCCTTGTATATATACTCTCCAAGCGTGTTCAACCATGAACAAAAAGCGCTTAATTTTTGCAAAATATCAAAATTAGATTACATCTAAAAAGCGACGAAAAGTTATTCTTGGATGCAAAATAAAAAAAAGATAATGCAGAGAATAAGCAAGAAGGTTGTCTTTATGACCCTGGTTCATGTTAATATAAATAAAAGTTTTTAAATTGAGTATATGAGTGAAAATTTTATGAAAAACTATGAATATAATATTCAAACGAGTTTTTCTCAAAATGTAAATTTTTGACCTCCCGGCCATTCTATCTCACTAACCAAATGTCAAATTTGTATGCAATTTTCACCAAATGTTTATTGCATCTAGTTGTACATTTTGGTAGCCATGACAACTAATAAATTTATTATTTTTTTTTTTTTATCTTTTTTTTATCATATAAAAACAAAAAAAAAAATTTTTTTATTTTTATTTTTATATGCTTTTTTGTACTTCTTTTTAGGAAATTTACCCGAATTATTGTAATTGCGTAAATGAAAACCATACTTTTGATTTATTAACTTTTTTTTATTTTAGAGCATGCATTGCACCATTATTGATTAGTTATCGTATATATATATATATATATAAATATATCTATATATATATATATATATATATATATATATATATATATATATATATATATATATATATATATATATATATATATATATATATATATATATATATATATATATATATATATATATATATATATATATATATATATATATATATATATATATATATATATATATATATATAGATATATATATATATATATATATATAGATATATTTATATATATATATATATATATAGATAGATATATATATATATATATATATATATATATATATATATATATATATATATATATATATATATATATATATATATATATATATATATATATATATATATATATATAATCAAAAGATATATTGGAACAAAAAATCTGCATAATTAGGGTATTTTCATAACTACTTTTGAAAATAGTTATTTTTTTTTATTTTTTTTTAATTTCTAATCTTATTTTAGTCAATATAAATTAAAAAGACATAACTAAGAACCAATATTTTATGATATAATTTTTTCAAGTATGTACAACCTTAATTGAATTATAATTTTTTGAAAACTGTTTTAACAGTCGATGTACTTGTGGATGCTCAAAATGTTATATTGCGTCATATAATCATAACAAAACACTTGATTAAAAAAGCAAATACAAAGAAAAAAAAAACTAGAGAAAAAGCGTTCTCTAACAAACAGTGACTTAGTCAAGGTTTACACATGCATGAATTACCCATAGCTTAGAAATTATGCCACTTTCCTCCTTCCTCCCCCAACAAAGTTTCATTATAGCCACAAACCTATTTCTGCTAAACTAAAAAAAGATATAAAAATCAATGATTATTTGGCAGCCACTATTAGCACTCATGCGGCAGGAAGCCCGTCTCGACACTACTGGTATACCCGCATGTCAGCTATATTTGCCCCTAATTATAATAGAACTACCCTTTATGATATACGTGAAAAAAAAATCCTTTCCCGATGCCCCACCATAAACACTGCCCACATACATTAGAGTATTGCCCAGAAGTGCCCTCAAACAGGCAATGGATTTGAATACTATCTAGCTACCTTAAAATTTAAGTTAAACCAACATGAAATGACTGTTTTTTGAGAAAGTAAATTATATAACTAAAGGTGGAATGCAAGAAGCAAGTTCGACTTTGTAACCAATAGCGGCAGAGTATTTTTTGAGGGGAAAACCCATACTCTGTTAAAGTAAGGTATAAAATTTAAAAGAAAATAATTACTTTTATTTATAAATGAAAATAGCAACTTTTTTCAAATTACTTTTATGTAAGCTGTTTTTGCTAATTAGTTACTTTTACACGTAAAAGTAATTTGTTTTTATGATGTAGTTTTATTTTACTTTTTAAAGTATGGGATCGTGCATAAAGTATGTACGCTCGGAGGGGAAGAGGGAGTCTGTAAATAGCGTATATGAGATGGGAGGGCATTGTGTCAATTATAAAAGAAATGATGCACTAAATTTAAAATAATATCTTAAAATGTTAGACAAATAGGTTAAAAGCATAGGTACTTTTAGGGAGGTGGAGGGTACTCAAATAAGTGTAATGCAAAATGAGAAGAGGGGGGGGGATGGACGAAAAAAAAGCGTTCGTACTTTATGGACGACCCCTAAGTATTATGTTTTTTAAATATTATATTTGCGTAAGTTTACTTCATAAATAACTTTTTTTACTTTTATAAAGTAAATTACATTTTGATATACATTTTTTACATAATTATAACTAAAATTACTTTTCAAAGTAATTTACTTTAGGGGTCATCGTTAAAGGACGTCACGCTAAGTTTAACTAATGGCAAGAAGTCGGAGAATGTTGACTCACGTGCGCAGAGATTTTTAGAGTATTTTACCGCCTTATGTTCAATAAAATCTCCGAGGCAAGGAGCCAATAACCTTCTTTTCTGGTTAGTGTTTAAATTCTGAATGATGTCCTTTATGAACAACCCCTTACACGACTTACCATTAAAAGTAAGTTATACTTACAAGTAAAAATGCAAATAACTTTTACTTGTAAAAATAAATTACTTTTCAAGTAACAGTTACTTATTTACAAAACTTCACTTAAGTAATTAAGTTTTACATCTTATATAATTTATGTAAAAAAAAAAACGAATTACTTTTAAATGTAAGTAAATTATATATTTTTATATGAGTTATGTAAAGTAATTTACGCGTAAAAGTAATTCACGTTTTTACGTCAAAATAAGTAAAAGTGCCAATCCCTATTGTCAATGGAATTAATATTTTCAATACACTTTTTATTTTAATGTTAAAAATGTTATGCTACTAAACATTTACCAAAAATACTTTATTTTCTTAATAAACTAAAAATACCAAACAGTAATCAATGAACAACTTTGTTATACTCAAAACAAGCTGAATTTTTAATAATTTATCGAGGGCAACGACTGTGGAGCTTGATTCAAGCAAATAATATAAAATTTATAACTACTACATAATAGTTCGAACGCGTATTAAAACAACTCATATTTAATTTTGATACAATTACTGTCATACTTTTAATCGTAGCTTTTGAATGTTTTATATATTGACGCAATATCTTTATTTGTTTTTTATAATTCTTACATACTGTCGCAATATCTTTATTTAATTTCTATAGTTGTATAAAATATATATTGATAATGATATTTTTAGTGAAACTAGGATAATATGTAGATGCATATGTGTGTATAAATGTGTATTTAAATTTATGTAAGTGTATTTAAAAAACAATACTAATATTAACGATGCAATAATGAAGTTATGCATTCAAAATCATTTTAGAGTATATTATAAACAACAAATAAATAAAAAAAAAATTTATTATCTTTTCATTTCAGAGAGGGCAGAAACACTAAATAAAATAAACGCTATGAAATTATTAGATTATTAAAATCTGCCAATTTATATAAATGTAGTTTTGAAAAGTTATCGTATAAAACGCAAAAATTATTGCTCTCACGTTTAGGATTGGGATCGAGGTTGTACAAATTTGTAATAAATAAATATTTTCCTACTCTTAATTATTTTAAAATATTCTAATTTAAAAAAAATTAAAATTATAAATATTTATGTTTTCATAAAAAAAATTTAAAGTATTTTCTAAAGTATAGGTTTATGAGAATCTTTTACTTGACTTAAATTGTAATTTTTTTTACTATATCTATTTTTTGAAAAGTTTTTTTTTTCTAATATTTTTACCAAATTTGATCATAAATTTGATCTTAAACTTGTTTATCCACATAATTAACTTCCAATAATATTTCATACTTTTTTAATTTCATAAAACTACGGAAATGCGTCAAATGCTGCGGAAATGTGCTTCGACGCTGTCGTAGCAAGAATTTAATTAAAAACACAATTACAAAAAAAAAATTCTTACTTCGGCATTTGCTTTGCAAAGAAACCAAAATATTTTTTTTGCCTTCGTAATCAATATAATCTGGATAGTAGCTATCATACACCACAGTTATGTTGCCGTTAACTTTTAACTCGTTATAGATTTTTTGCGACATAGGGCTGTAAATACTAGAGGTGCTTTCAATTAAACAAACGGTTTTCCAGTTGAAAAATAACAAAAGTTGTAAAAATGTTTTTGGCGTGTATGTGATACTTGTTCTGGCAAACGGTTTTGTCCTTGCAAAATAAGGATAGTTAGTTTTATTGGAAAGAAGATTCGAGGAGCATCCATAAGATATCATAGGTATTTTTTCATAGCTAGATAAAAGACCACTTGACAAACACGATTCGCTACAGGGCGGTCCTATAAATACATTTACATTTTTATTAAAAAGAGTCACACTTGCGCCTAGGCCATCACGATCATTGCATGAGGGATCTGCTTGTATATACGTAATTTTTGTTCCATTCAAAATTTCATCACTATTATTGATATCATCAATAACCCTAGAAATCACTCCTGCAACTCTCTGAGCTGAAACATCTTTTGATGTCCAAGAAATAAGGATACCGACACGAATTTCTTGCAAAACACAATTTACTGAGAAATTTGATAAAAAAAAACTGATGAAAAAGAGAAAAATCATACTTTCGCTCTGATTCAAAACAAATTAAAGTAATAACGGAAACAAATTCATTACGGCAAATAAGCAGCTTTGTATGTTCTGTTGATTGTGCTTTATATTTATGCTCTATGTGCTAGTAAATATAAAATAATAGGTATAAAATATAGTTTTAACTATGTTTTATTACGTATGTACTGCCAGTTCACCTCCTCATTGATTCGAATCAAAATTTGAAAAACCGGCTAAATGAAAAGCAGCTTCGAAAACTTTGCCATAGTGATAAACTTATTCAATTTAGTTTTGATATTTTGAAAAAATACATTAATGATTGTTACACGTAAAAAAATTAATTAAGTCAAGTTTAGCATACGCATCAAATTTAAATCTCGGTTTAAATCCTCTATGCAGGTTTATCACGCTAAAAGATAAATTTTTCATCAGTCAGAATAATTGCAAAACAAAACTAGTGAGGAAATGAATAGTTAAATTGGAAAAATTGTTCAAATATAATTGAATAGATATTTCTATGGAAATATTCGTAAGGTAACTAAGGTAACGCACGTTCATTTTGATATAACTCTGCTATATTCGTAACTTTATTACTTTATAATATTACTGAGAACTAATTAAAAAAACTATAAACTAAATATAATAAACAGCAAAAAGGTCATTAGAAAAATAATATAAGTTTATAAAATATGAAATTCTTGATATTTTTGTATCTTCCACGAAATTTTGTCATCATCTACTATGAAATTCAATTATTTTTATTTGGTTAAAAGATATCATCTTATTTACATAATATAAGTCAAATAAAAGTATAGGTAATGTACAAATAATACTATATAGGATTATTTGAACAGCAAAATTTTTATCCTGATAATGGTACTGTTGCGTAAATGTTTATAATGTATAACGATTTTTATTTAAAACGGTCTGCAACTACAAATGCGATTACATTTATAAGTTGATTAATATAGACGACTATTACAAGTAAACAATCAATTTCAATAGCCCGATTTACTTTACAGACCAATTAGTTAGATGCAGTTTTTCAACCGCCTAAAGATTGAATGGACTCATAAATTATTAAAAGGTCAGAGTTTGAGCTGATTTACGAATAAATCATTAATAAAAACACATCCCAATAAATATGCACAAACTTGTTTCATTGCCGTTTTGGGGCGGCCTCTTCATCCCGCAAAGCATTTTTTTGATTTACAATATAAAACAATTGTTAAATTCACTTTTGTAATCTTAGCGCTGAGGCTTCCCGTCGCGTCATTAATATATGCATTCTTTAATTGTATTCACTTGCAATCGTCTCGATTTTTTAAACTCTGTTTGATGAGTTGAATGAAGTTTTTTAATTTAAGATTAAGAGACAACGACGCACGACAACCCTCGCACGACAACAACGACAACCCTCGCACGACAACAACGACAACCCTCCAATTTTAAAAAAAGGATAAATAAATTAACACTCTCATGAGTCATGCAATATTACGCTGACGTACTGCAAATGTTTATATAATAGTAACTTAAGGCTGTTTAAGTCAAAAAATATTTGAAAATACCATGAAAAATGTGTTTTCGCGGTCAAAAAATTAGGAAAACGGAATAGACGAATGATGTTAAATTTTACAGAAGTATTATAAATGTTTATATTTGTGGAATTAGGCCAATTATGGAATAATTTTTTTTTTCGGATAAAAAGGTGCAGAGAATTATATAATGATATTATAAAAAGAATAAAATATAACTCGCCAAACTCCATAACTCAAAGTGTAAAATTTAATTATGTGAAATTTTAACCCACTCATACGACAAACATTGGTAAATTGAACAATCTCTGAAATTTTTTATCATATATGCACGTATTTTTTTAAATTTATTTAAAGGGGGAGGGGGAGATCAAGAAAAGATGACCTCAACAATGTTTCTTTATTTAAATAAATTTAAATACTAAAAAAAAAAAAGAAAAAAGGTTGTTTTTTCCAATATTAGTTTTATTAGAAGGAGGTGGGGAGGGGGGTTGGAATCAAATGTAAACGTAATTTTATTTCAGTCAAGTTTTCTAATTAAAAACCGTGGCCCACCAATATGGACCACCGTGGCCCATCAATATGGACCACCGTGGTCCATCAATATGGACCACCGTGGTCCATCAATATGGACCACCGTGGTCCATCAATATGGACCACCGTGGTCCATCAATATGGACCACCGTGGTCCATCAATATGGACCACCGTGGTCCATCAATATGGACCACCGTGGTCCATCAATATGGACCACCGTGGTCCATCAATATGGACCACCGTGGTCCATCAATATGGACCACCGTGGTCCATCAATATGGACCACCGTGGTCCATCAATATGGACCACCGTGGTCCATCAATATGGACCACCGTGGTCCATCAATATGGACCACCGTGGTCCATCAATATGGACCACCGTGGTCCATCAATATGGACCACCGTGGTCCATCAATATGAAATCATTTCCAAAATAAAAATCTTAAAGATCTAAAAAACATTTCATTGTTTAAACGACAAACTAAAATGTATCTTCTTAATTCCTGACATATATATTATAGTTTACAGTATTTGTTTTCAGATTTTTGATTTTTTTTCTTGTTTTTTTTCTTCTTATTTATTTTAATATATTTTGTTTTCAATTTTTTACTCTAAAAGAAAATATGACCTTTGTTTTATTGAATTTTTATTTTATTTTAAAAAGTATTTTTTTTTAATGAGTGACTAAAGGGGCTCTATAAAAAGGTTGCGATGATAAACGCATCATCTGTACCTTTTTTGAGTCCGATACTGATTATAACACTATATATATATATATATATATATATATATATATATATATATATATATATATATATATATATATATATATATATATATATATATATATATATATATATATATATATATATAAATCGAGAGTAAAAAGGAGAATCACTAAAAAATATTAGAAGTATATTATTAAATCATGGATTGTAAAAATGAGTTCTTTAAGATTCCGTGTAAAAGTAGTTTCATTGATGAATAAAATCATCAGTAAATATTTTTAAAACTATTTTATTCCATAAAAATGGTCCGTAAAAATCAATGCAAAATTTACTTAAGTTTCTTTGAAAAATGGGCTGCTTAATAAAATTATAATTGCGTAAAATGCATTTATTTTTATTTTTTGATGAAACAAATTTTGGAAAGAATTGGGGATGAACTGGTTTAAGATTTAAACATAAGGCTCATATATATTAAAAACTTTCATTTCAAACAATATAGGCGTTGCATGAGTATAACCAAGGAGGTATAATAGAGTATAATTCTATTATACTTCCTTGGTATAATGGTCTTTAAATTGTATAAGACATGCTAAATGTTTCTGCTGATTTGCCGAATAAGTTCTTCAAAGCTGCAGAAAAATACTCACTGGAAGAGCAAACCGCTATTGAGAAAGAATCAAGAGTGCACAGTAGCACATGCCCAACCCTTTATAAAATGGTTTGCCCTACCAATGCTCATAAATAAAGTTTAGAGAAAACCTTCAAAATTTAGCATTAAAAGATAGCAAAGCAGCAAAAAAAAAATAGCATCACGAGTCATTTCCAATAAAAAATTATTTTCGTAAGAAACTGTTTAATTTGCTAATACGCCCAGCGGCCCTCCACTTAAAATTACCCCTGATAAATATTTTTCACTTAAATATTTTCGACATATGTATTGAAAGGAAGACTTGAATATTAGGAAACAGATAGATAAATAGATTTCACGAAGTATATTTTGACAAGTTTCTCTATAAAATCGAATAGTTTGAAAGGTTTACACAAACAAAAGATTATTTTTATTACATAAAGTTTAAAAGTTTTACAAAAACTAAAGTTATTATTATTAACATAAAGTATGTATATTTTGGTTTTAGCTCAAATAATGCCCAGCCACCATCGAGCGCTATGAAATTGACCATTCTAACCTTTGTAAATGTAAAATTAAATATCAAGCAGCAAGATGATAGAGCCAAATTTTTACCTGTTTTTTCTAAGAACAGATCAATACTTGAATGATTTTTACTTAAAAATCAGATTCTACCTACGGAATATTAGATTTTGGTTGAAATCAGTTCGGGTTGTTGCTCACTACAATAATTTATCAAGTCTTTTGATTATGTTATTCAATCTTTCAAAATTTCTGGTGGCTATTTTGGTAGTTTTCTGTTAAGCTAGGAATTGATGGTGGCAAAAGTTTTCTCAAACTTTGTTTAAGAACTGGCATGGACACTAGAGTAAAGAGACAATTTCTTGTTGTGATACCAAAAGATTTGCCAATAACTTACTCCAATATCGAACAAATCTGGTCACTAATTAATTCAAATGGAATTACATTAGTTTTGGCTTATGATATGAAAGTTGCAAATACAATTTGCAACTTTCAAGCAATCTTATAAATCCTATAGGATTTCAATAGAATCTATAGGATTCCTAAAGGATTTATATAAGTATCTTATAGGTTTTATAGAAAACCTATAGGACCTATTGGACTGCAATAAGAATTCTATTATTATCTTATTTGTCCTATAGGATTGCTATAGGACAAATATAACTCCTATAGGTATCCTATAGGTTCTATAGGGATCCTATTACAACCCCATATATCCTATAGGATTCATATATGTATCCTATAGGTTCTATAAGATTTATATAGGACTTACTATATTTCCTATAGGTTCTATAAGATTTATATATACCTTTTTGATTCCTAATGCACTCCTACAGGTTCTACAGTATTCATATATGTATCCTATAGCTGCTATAGGATTCCTATAGGACAAATATGATACCTATAGAAATGCAATTGCAATCCAATAGGTCATATAGGATTCAAATAGGAAGAATAAAACTGCTATAGTGTTAATAGTATAATCCTATATAAATCATAGAATTCCTACAAGATTTATAGGACTATAGAAATAAATCAATATCATAAAGAAAGTAATTGTCTTTAATAAGTCCTATTAGATATTTTATAGGATTTTTAAATGTAAAATACAACTTTCTTTCTATAAATTTAAAGTCAAATAACATTACAACGTGTATTTGTTCAGAAAATTTTAAGCAAATTAAAACCTAACTAACTTGATATATTCCATTAAGTCCGTTCTTCTTCATTCAGAACTTTTTGCGCTTTGGAGAAGCGGAAAAGTTCTTTGAGCATGCGCAAACAGTTTTTTAAAGCCCGTTCTCCAATCAGAACTTTTTGCGCATGCTCAAAGAACTTTTCTGCTCCTCCAAAGCGCAAAAAGTTCTGAATGGAGAACGGGCTTTAGGTTGAAATTATTTTGCGTTTAATAACAAAACTTTTATTAATTACGTTAATAGCCGATATATTTTTACTGATGAAGTGGCGTTGCAGTTCAGTCGATGAAAAATTTAATTTTTTAAAAATAGCCAACAGCGTTTCGATAAGCTTGGCTTTTCATTGCTTTAAATTGCTTTAAATTCATTGCTTTAAAAGTTAATAATGGTTACAAGTCATTTTAAAATAATGATGCTTTTGTAAGTGCACATAAGACTTTAATACTCTGTTGAAATATAAATTAAAATTTATTTAATAACAGTTTCAATGTCTGTAATAACAAAATATTTTTGTCTTCATTAAATGGTTCTGAATCTGAAAATGAAACATTAGCTTGTAATGGAAAAAGAAAATTGGAAAAGAAATTAAAACCGGTAAAGCATATCATTGATGAAATCCATTTTAAAGCAAATTTATTATTAATTATTAATTTGGTGAGCATAGAGAAAAAATACCCAATTGACTGCAAATCAGTATGCTGCTGTATTAGTTAAGGAAGCGGTTAATTCAGCCAAAGGTATTATATTTAAGCCAGGTTTGGACTCAAAGAAGGCTAAGGACATATTAGGTATTGATTTTTATAGTATTTTATTTAGCCCCACCATTTCTTCTTGTTTTGTATAATGAATATAATATACACCTTTTAGTTTGTTCATATTTTTGTTTTCAGACTTTTTAGCAATTTTCAAGTGAAAATTATGCTATGTTTCGAAAACCAATTGCGGCAAAGTGTAATGATGAAAGCAAACTTGCAAAACGAAGCATTGATTTTTTTTAGGAAACTATTGTTTATAAAGAACATTATGTTAATAACAATAATAAATTATATATTTCACAACAATAACTGCTTGCTAATTTAATCAATATTCTGTTGTACTTTTTCTATTTTCTTTTTGTCAATTCAACTCATTAGTTTTAATTAAGTTAAGAACTAAAAGATAATGTAAGTAGAAATACCTTAGAGGACATTCCTATTAAATATCCTTTGACAACTGCAAACGGCAATCCGATAAGATTTCAAACAGGATTGAATAGGATTCCTGTACATATAAAACTATAAGATGTTAATATCTTATAGTTTTATATGTACAGAAATCTTATTCATTCTTGTTCCAAATTCTTATATGGTTTTTTATCCAATAAGACACCAAATGAACAATTTCTTGTAGTTGTATACGTACAGAAATCCTACACAATTGATAAGGATTTCTGTACATAAAAAAAAACTCTAAGATATTGTTCATTCGGTGACTTATAGGATAAAACTTCTATAAGGTTTTTGAACAGGACTGAATAGGATTTCTGTTTGTTCATACCTATAAGACTTTTATATCCGGTGTCTTATAGGATAAGACTCCTATGAGATTTTGATTTAGAGGTACAGAATAAAGGGGCAATTTAAATAGCACACCCTGGTAAAGAATTATCATTTTGTCCCTTTGCTATAAAAACCATAGAAGTTCTTTGTATAAATAATTGCGAAAA